TTGCCCTTGCTACTTGTAACTACTTGAAACCACACAGTATATGAAGAGTGAGAGAGAGAGAGAGAGAGAGAGAGAGAGAGAGAGAGAGAGAGAGAGAGAGAGAGAGAGAGAGAGAGAGAGAGAGAGAGGAGAGAGAGAGAGGAGAGGGAGAGAGAGAGCAATGTTCTACGTTCCACATCATTTCGGAACGTTTTCCGTCACTTGCACCTCTCCCTCCTGCCCGAGGCCCTACCTACACCCCAGGGCGGGCTGGAGACACCACTAGGCTATCTTTAGGTTATCTTATCTTGAGATGATTTCGGGGGGTTTAGTGTCCCCGCGGCCCGGTCCTCGACCAGGCCTCCACCCCCCAGGAAGCAGCCCGTGACAGCTGACTAACACCCAGGTACCTATTTTACTGCTAGGTAACAGGAGCATAGGGTGAAAGCTACGAAGGCTACCAAGGTTGACTCCTCTCTTCCCTTCCCACGGGTCATCTGCCCTCAGCGCTTCTCACAAGAATCTTCCACGCTGGAATTTCGAGAGCTGGATGATCTACGGCAAGAGGAGAATACCTCGCCAATTTGACCACAGTACAGAACGTTCAGAACTAGAACAAGTTAATGACATTATCAAAATTGAAACTTGTTATGATGTTAATAAAATAATGCGAATATTTGAGAATTGTCTTATTTCATATTCCTTCCTTCATATTGCCTCGCGGCATGCTGCGGGAGTCTTGCTTGGCCTCGCGGCATGCTGCGGGAGTCTTGCTTGGCCTCGCGGCATGCTGCGGGAGTCTTGCTTGGCCTCGCGGCATGCTGCGGGAGTCTTGCTTGGCCTCGCGGCATGCTGCGGGAGTCTGCTTGGCCTCGCGGCATGCTGCGGGAGTCTTGCTTGGCCTCGCGGCATGCTGCGGGAGTCTTGCTTGGCCTCGCGGCATGCTGCGGGAGTCTTGCTTGGCCTCGCGGCATGCTGCGGGAGTCTTGCTTGGCCTCGCGGCATGCTGCAGGAGTCTTGCTTGGCCTCGCGGCATGCTGCGGGAGTCTTGCTTGGCCTCGCGGCATGCTGCGGGAGTCTTGCTTGGCCTCGCGGCATGCTGCGGAGTCTTGCTTGGCCTCGCGGCATGCTGCGGGAGTCTTGCTTGGCCTCGCGGCATGCTGCGGGAGTCTTGCTTGGCCTCGCGGCATGCTGCAGGAGTCTTACTTGGCCTCGCGGCATGCTGCGGGAGTCTGCTTGGCCTCGCGGCATGCTGCGGGAGTCTTGCTTGGCCTCGCGGCATGCTGCGGGAGTCTTGCTTGGCCTCGCGGCATGCTGCGGGAGTCTTGCTTGGCCTCGCGGCATGCTGCGGGAGTCTTGCTTGGCCTCGCGGCATGCTGCGGGAGTCTTGCTTGGCCTCGCGGCATGCTGCGGGAGTCTTGGGGATCTTAGAGAAGTTGAGCTCTGCACACTCCAGTTCCCTCGCCGCGGTAACTGTATATATACCCCCAGTGAATACATACCCCCCCCTTGTGTATATATATACCCCCAGTGTATATATACCTCGTGTGTATTTATACCGTACCTTGACAGGTGAAGGCCACGTACCTTGACAGGTGAAGGCCACGTACCTTGACAGTGAAGGCCACGTACCTTGACAGGTGCAGGCCACGTACCTTGACAGTGAAGGCCACGTACCTTGACAGGTGCAGGCCACGTACCTTGACAGGTGAAGGCCACGTACCTTGACAGGTGAAGGCCACGTACCTTGACAGGTGAAGGTCACGTACCTTGACAGGTGAAGGCCACGTACCTTGACAGGTGAAGGCCACGTACCTTGACAGGTGAAGGTCACGTACCTTGACAGGTGAAGGCCACGTACTTGACAGGTGAAGGCCACGTACCTTGACAGGTGCAGGCCACGTACCTTGACAGGTGAAGGCCACGTACCTTGACAGGGGAAGGCCACGTACCTTGACAGGTGAAGGCCACGTACCTTGACAGGTGAAGGCCACGTACCTTGACAGGTGAAGGCCACGTACCTTGACAGTTACTTTAGTAGCAGTTATCAATGGTTCATTCTCTGTCAGTGTGTTGAGGACAACCAACATTCAAAACAGAGTAAATGTTTTAGCAGTATTAGTAAGAAAGAATTTGTTGCTAATACTGTAAATGAGAAGTACTAATCACTCCATCCAGCTTAAAATACTGGAAAAGGACCGTAATGCAAAGAAGAAAATTGAAGACATTCTTGATCTTTTAGAGGATTTCAATGCATTTTTTTTTTTTTAGATAAATACAAGAGTTGTTACAATCTTGTAGAGCCACTAGTACGCGTAGCGTTTCGGGCAGGTCCCTGGAATACGATCCCCGCCGCGAAGAATCGTTGTTACAACCAAGTACACATTTTACTGTTGAGTTAAACAGAGGCTACAGTTAAGGATTTGCGCCCAGTAAATCCTCCTCGGTCAGGATACGAACCCATGACAAAGCGCTCGCGGAACGCCAGGCGAGTGTCTTACCACTACACCACGGAGACATATTTTAGTATGTTTATAGAGACAGGTGAAGACATAATAGTGTCCTGCTACTGGAACACTCTACTCTTCCCTACATAGAGCGACACAAAGACCAACACGGAGGGAAACTGCGAGCTCTATAAGCTTGTATTTCAGAAAGCGTTAACATTATTTGCTTCCTTTAGTAAAGTAAATTATTCCAGCTGGGGCTCTGTTTACCATGAAGATTGCTGGGAACGTGAGGGGCAAGAACTGTAGTACCTGTGAGCCATTGGTATGAGTGGATTTGTAGTTGAGGATGGCGTTAACAAATTGTCTAGTAGTGATGGCTTAGATCAGGGCTTGGAGATGGGATACAGCAAGCCAGCATAAAGGACAAGATGGCATACTTGGTATGACCCGAAGAAAAGAAGCCGGCGTTCTGCCAACCCGTCCTCGACTCAAGTCCATTACATCCAGCGGTCGACCCCAAACACGCAATCGTAAATTTTTACATGCTGTTCATTCAAAACGGGAATTTTCTCAAATACAAATTAATATTATAATATATTAGCATGTAGTGCATATATAGGCATAGGTTAGGCTAGGGTCTTTTGGGTCTTTGTTTGGAGGACGGGCTGCGTTCTGCAAGACATAATCGAGTATGAAATATTCAATGAACATGCTTCATGGAAAGACTGTGGAATTGCTGAAAATGATGAGTAGGCCCTGCATGATCAGTTTCCCTCATTGTAACCGAAACGCATAATCAAAGCATTGTGAAATTAATAATATCATTGATGAGAGGAATACATTTTCCTCTAGTACTAGATCCATAACACTTGTGCTCCAGTAGACCAGAACCAGAGCACAAGTTCTCAACTGGACCCCGGGAGAAACACGTACCAGTAGACGAAGAAAAGATTAAACATAATAAACACAGGGACGAAGTCTTCCTTCAAAGTCTTAACGTAACAAGAGCAACATGTCATACTCAAGAGGATAATCTAAATCTCAAGAGCTCTGAGTTATCCCATTGATGCGTCTTGAACCTTGGAACTAACAAGTACATCCTTCATTGATGCGTCTTGAACCTTGGAACTAACAAGTACATCCTTCATTGATGCGTCTTGAACCTTGGAACTAACAAGTACATCCTTCATTGATGCGTCTTGAACCTTGGAACTAACAAGTACATCCTTCATTGATGCGTCTTGAACCTTGGAACTAACAAGTACAATCCTTCTTTTTTAACTACATTTTCTTCAAGGACAAAATTGACAAGTTTCTGAATGAAGTGCTGGAACAACTGGGCTGTAATATGTGTGGGGGGCCTGCCGCCGCCGCCTCTGCCTCGAGCAACAGCTTGTTGGATCAAGTCATCACTCGTGGAGCCTGGCCCCAGGCCGGGCTCCACGAGTACACCGCCTTCAACCCACTCCAAGTATACTTTGTAAGTATAAGACATACTTTATCAACATAATTATGTCGTATGACAATCATGGCCTTTTGACGTTATGTCATATTATTTATTTATGGTAACATGTGTCACCCTCTCACCCTACAGTGTGGACCATGTGTCACCCCTCACCCTACAGTGTGGACCATGTGTCACCCCTCACCCTACAGTGTGGACCATGTGTCACCCTCTCACCCCTCACAGTGTGGACCATGTGTCACCCTCACCCTACAGTGTGGACCATGTGTCACCCCCCTCACCCTACAGTGTGGACCATGTGTCACCCCTCACCCTACAGTGTGGACCATGTGTCACCCCTCACCCTACAGTGTGGACCATGTGTCACCCCTCACCCTACAGTGTGGACCATGTGTCACCCCTCACCCTACAGTGTGGACCATGTGTCACCCCTCACCCTACATGTGGACCATGTGTCACCCTCCTCACCCTACAGTGTGGACCATGTGTCACCCCTCACCCTACAGTGTGGACCATGTGTCACCCTCTCACCCTACAGTGTGGACCATGTGTCACCCCTCACCCTACAGTGTGGACCATGTGTCACCCCCCTCACCCTACAGTGTGGACCATGTGTCACCCCCTCACCCTACAGTGTGGACCATGTGTCACCCCTCACCCTACAGTGTGGACCATGTGTCACCCCTCACCCTACAGTGTGGACCATGTGTCACCCCTCACCCTACAGTGTGGACCATGTGTCACCCCTCACCCTACAGTGTGGACCATGTGTCACCCCTCACCCTACAGTGTGGACCATGTGTCACCCCTCACCCTACAGTGTGGACCATGTGTCACCCTCTCACCCTACAGTGTGGACCAGTGTCACCCCTCCCCTACAGTGTGGACCATGTGTCACCCCCCTCACCCTACAGTGTGGACCATGTGTCACCCCTCACCCCTACAGTGTGGACCATGTGTCACCCCTCACCCTACAGTGTGGACCATGTGTCACCCCTCACCCTACAGTGTGGACCATGTGTCACCCTCTCACCCTACAGTGTGGACCATGTGTCACCCCTCACCCTACAGTGTGGACCATGTGTCACCCCTCACCCTACAGTGTGGACCATGTGTCACCCCTCACCCTACAGTGTGGACCATGTGTCACCCCTCACCCTACAGTGTGGACCATGTGTCCACCCCTCTCACCCTACAGTGTGGACCATGTGTCACCCCTCACCCTACAGTGTGGACCATGTGTCACCCCTCACCCTACAGTGTGGACCATGTGTCACCCCTCACCCTACAGTGTGGACCATGTGTCACCCTCTCACCCTACAGTGTGGACCATGTGTCACCCCTCACCCTACAGTGTGGACCATGTGTCACCCCTCTCACCCTACAGTGTGGACCATGTGTCACCCCTCACCCTACAGTGTGGACCATGTGTCACCCTCACCCTACAGTGTGGACCATGTGTCACCCCTCACCCTACAGTGTGGACCATGTGTCACCCCTCACCCTACAGTGTGGACCATGTGTCACCCCTCACCCTACAGTGTGGACCATGTGTCACCCTACCCATGTGTCACCCCTCACCCTACAGTGTGGACCATGTGTCAACCCCTCACCCTACAGTGTGGACCATGTGTCACCCCTCACCCTACAGTGTGGACCATGTGTCACCCCTCACCCTACAGTGTGGACCATGTGTCACCCCTCACCCTACAGTGTGGACCATGTGTCACCCCTCACCCTACAGTGTGGACCATGTGTCACCCCTCACCCTACAGTGTGGACCATGTGTCACCCCTCACCCTACAGTGTGGACCATGTGTCACCCCTCACCCTACAGTGTGGGACCATGTGTCACCCCTCACCCTACAGTGTGGACCATGTGTCACCCCTCACCCTACAGTGTGGACCATGTGTCACCCCTCACCCTACAGTGTGGACCATGTGTCACCCCTCACCCTACAGTGTGGACCATGTGTCACCCCTCACCCTACAGTGTGGAGCATGTGTCACCCCTCACCCTACAGTGTGGAGCATGTGTCACCCCTCACCCTACAGTGTGGAGCATGTGTCACCCCTCACCCTACAGTGTGGACCATGTGTCACCCCCTCACCCTACAGTGTGGACCATGTGTCACCCCCTCACCCTACAGTGGTGGGACCATGTGTCACCCCTCACCCTACAGTGTGGAGCATGTGTCACCCTCTCACCCTACAGTGTGGACCATGTGTCACCCCTCACCCTACAGTGTGGACCATGTGTCACCCCTCACCCTACACTGTGGACCATGTGTCACCCCTCACCCTACAGTGTGGACCATGTGTCACCCCTCACCCTACAGTGTGGACCATGTGTCACCCCTCATCCTACAGTGTGGACCATGTGTCACCCCTCACCCTACAGTGTGGACCATGTGTCACCCCTCACCCCTACAGTGTGGACCATGTGTCACCCCTCACCCT